GCTCTGCTAGGGGTGGACATTTCTCCAAGGGTCTGGCAGGCTACAATATTGGCCATGTTCAGCATTTTTTAAAAAATACTGCAGTGCGTATTAGCAGCTAAAATTTTGACACTGGATTTTGTTGTGTGTACTCTTGCAGTAAAAAAAAAAATCAGGGCAGGTTTTGACATGTCAGATCAGACCATTCCCTTGTGAGTAGAGTATTTGGACCCAAGAGAGAGGAAGTAACAGGAGGATGGAGACAATTGTATAATGAGGAGCTTCATAATTTGCACTCTTCACAAAATAATCAAGGAGGATTGGATGTTTGAACAGTATAGCACCCAATGGAGAGATGAAAAATACATACAAAATTTTAGTTAAAAAATCTGAATGCTCAGTTGGAAGGCCAAAGGGTAAATGGGAGGATAATATTGGAATGTGTCATGAAGAAATATGGAGTCAGTTGAAATAAGATTATGGTCTTCCGAGTTGTGATACCATGTAGTTTTGTGTTAGGGTACCAGTCTTTTCCATCTTCAGGGACACTTTTTACCTGAAGATGGAAACAGAAAGTTCCACTGAAATATTGGTAACCACCAAAGAAGCTGTGCAATGTCATAATAAAGACCACCAGAATGTTAATTTTTATGATCATGAAAAATCCAAATCTCACCTGAACTGAAATAATACAGGATTTTGAATGTAGTAATGAACCTCCAGGTTACATAAACGAAGGAATTTCGTGGCCAGCTGAGTGATTAAACTTTTCAGAAAGGCCCTGTACTGTACAGGTAAATAGTGATATGTGTATATGGTCAGTTACTTAACTGCTTCCTTAGGTTTGTAGTTAGTTAGTGTCTTAGTTGGTCAGTCAAAAAAAAAAATAGGAATGATCCTGTGTTGCTAGTAAAGTATAATTTAACCTGAATTTTTTGTGATTGAGGAGACATCTTATTGGATTTCATATTTTATATGCAGGATAATGATATATTCACTGATTTAGATCTTAGAAATTTATGAATTATGTTTGAAATCCAAACTGTCTTAAATTCTTTGTCTGCAGGCATTCAACTCCCCTTCACTTTGCTGCTGGCTATAACAGGGTTGCAGTTGTTGAGTTCCTTCTAGCTCATGGAGCTGATGTCCATGCCAAAGACAAAGGGTACACACAACATTATTTGCTAGAGTTCTAATAACCAAAGTTGCACTTATGCAGTGAGAAATGGGCCTTAATAATTTGTTTCATGCATGAGTTGGAACATTGGTTTTGTTCTTAACTGCTTATTTTTATAACTTCATCCTGCTTGGATTAAGAATTAACCAGTTCCTTTTCCTGCCACTACACATATGGACATTTGATTATGTATCAGCAAGCTTGTCAGTAGTTGCACATCCACCGGTGCATTATATATTCTGACCATGAGTCTAAAACTGGGCATGAGCGTACCAGCAAACATGTATTTCTGGAGAAAAAAGTGCTGGTCTTACCTGTTTTCATACACTACAGTTTTTTTTCGGTAAAGGTAATGTTACTAGAATATAGCATATGCATTGATTATTCTGCTTCTCTGACTGACCCAATTCTGTGCTGTGGTATAATTAACATATGGGAAGTTAAAATATCACAGTTGTATGGAGTTGGCATCTGGATTATAATTTGGGAGTGAAAGTTTATTATCTGGGAATGGGAGATTTTAAATCTTCCAAAGCTACAGGGTGGCACGTTTCTTGTAATTCTGGAATAACTGTATTGCATGATACTGACAAGAAGTAATTTTCAGCCAGCTGGGTTTTTCACATGTTCTGTTGCAGTACTGCATTGCATTGCTAATAGAGTTTAATATCATTTTGAATGTTCAGTACAATCGGCATAATATTTTGTAATTTTTTGTTATGTGTTTTGTCATAAACATAGCATAACATGTAGTCCAATTATATATGTCCATGGAGATGTCTGTTACTGTGGTGTGATTCTATAGTTTTGATTGTATTTGTCTAGTTAATTTGGTGTCTTCATTGTTGATGCACAGCAAATGTTGTGGCCAAATCAGTAGCACTACTGCTATGTATTTGGGAGGTCTAGGTTAACAGATCCTCCCCTCTTTACCCTACAGTTTGGGGGGCAATCGCAGCATTTGTCCCTGGCTCTATATTCGTGTTCTCAGTGTTTCCCAGATGGAATGGGGTGTCCAAGCTTAGCTTTAGTAAGAAAAGACTGAATATCCAAAATAAATATTTAATAACAGTTAATAATAATAATAACAGTAAAAAAATAAAGGAGACTTAAATCATTACATTAGTGCTTCAAATATGCATATCAATCTATGCCTTCAACCACCTTTGGTTGGTCTAGACTGAAATCCAATAAAGAAAATACATAAAAGTAGCCACACACAGCCGTCCGTTTACCCCAGACCTAGAAAATGACCAGACTCACATAACATTGCGAGACATCCCCGATCGCAATGTTACACCACTGTGTAGCTGTACAACAGCACTAAATGGGCAGCCAGAGCAAATAATAATATAATACCAAACAAAAAACTCATTACAGCATCATGAATGAAAAAAAACTTGTTGCAACGAGGAGGCCCCTTGCCCTCAGTGGCCAGAGCAAAGAGTCCAGACACAATTTGGAAATCCCACATCTAAACAGAATTTAGCAACCTACTTCACTTGACCAACGGCAAGCAAAGACTGCTCTTTAAGTTTTCAAATTCAGTCACACAGAATGGGGCAATACAGCCCAACCACATAATAAAAGAAAACTTGTTGCAACACTCCTGACACACCTGTTGCAACAGTGCAGTCCCTTGCCCCCAATGTCCGAACAAGAATCCAAACAGAATTTAAAATTAGCAACCTAAACAGAATTTCACCACCTACTTGACTGACTGCTGGCAAATGAAAGATCAACTTCCAGCTTCCAGCTCTGGATACTTAGGTGGAGGGTTTTCTTTCTAAACAGTTGGAGGAAGGGAAATCACGTGGTACTTGGAATTATGGGATAATGGTAAACTAGTGTTGACACCGATTGGCCGGAGAGGGGGGGGGGCTGAAGGAGGGAGGATACCAAACCGAAATAAGTATCTCCTAAATCATCCAAATGTAAACATGGCTCACAGGCCCAAATGTAGTCCTTTCATTTTCCTGGAGGGACTAAGAAAAATCATAGAAAATATAAGGATAGCCAGTCTCCTGGCTGAGATTTTGCCATGGGACATCAAAAATATGAAGCAGAATTGTGAAATCAGAAGACTGTACTCTTCAGAACTGTGAAGATCCATGAAAGCATTGCTGTATAAACAAAATTGTAACATAAGCCATAAATAAATTAATACAGTGTAACAGATTTCAGCGGCGTGCACTGTCTTCGCTCACTTGGAAGCCGGGATCATGGGTTCGAATCCCACTCAGGGCATGGATATTTGTGTGCGTTTTTCCGTGTTTGTGTACAGGTACAGGCCTTGCGATGAGCTGATCACCTGCCCAAGGAGTTCTACCATATGTCTAAGATCTAGAAAAACCGAAGTGAACGGAGAAGTTCATGGAGGTAGGCCTAGGCCCGCTGGGGCTGTAGCGCCAAGAGGAAAAAAAAAAACAGATGTCAGCATAAAAAAAAAAGAAACCAACTTGCAAGACCACAGCATGACCAGGAAAAGGTCCATCATGCACCTTCTGATGGCCAGCAGTGAAAAATTACAAAAATTATGTGTGATTTGACTGTAACATGTGTACAAATCAGTATTCTCCCTCTCTCTCTCTCTTGATCAAACTCAGATTATATCTTCAAGCTCTGATCAGAAAGCACTCAGTATAGTGATGAGGGTACTTGATGGATATGGGGTTTGATTCCTGGCAAAGGTAGGGATTTTTCTCTGCCACCACATCCAGATTGGCTCCAAGGCCAAGCCAGCCTCCATCCACTGGGTATTAAAGGCTCCATTCCTGAGGGTAACGCAGCTGGGGCATGAAGTCTATCATTTATCTTTGTCTTATGCCAAGATTAATAATATGTGGAGCTATACCTCTTCTCTTCCTACATCTTAATGGTGTGGTGCTTCATCACAGGAGAAACTTCACTTTCACTTTAACACTTTAAATCCCATTAGTTCTATATATACTAAAACTGCATTATATGCAAGAAGTGTACTTATGTTTCTTGTGGTTCTCACAGTAAACAGTATTGACCAGTTGATCTTTGGAGCTGAGACATAATGTTTCATGTGAGGTATGAACTACATTTTAATGTATTATTTAAACTTAACCACTTTATGTTGTTTTTCAGTGGTTTGGTACCTTTGCACAATGCTTGTTCCTATGGACACTATGAAGTTACAGAACTTCTTGTAAAACATGGGGCAAGTGTCAATGTGGCTGATCTATGGAAATTCACTCCTCTTCATGAGGCTGCTGCCAAAGGAAAATATGAGATAGTTAGGCTTTTACTAAAGGTTTGTTACAGAATTGTTTCTGTATTTCGTGTGGAGTCATTTATGATATATTTTGTAATGCCTATCTCAGGTTGTAAAGTACTGTTCATTTCTTGTCACTGGACTTTTGTGGTCAGGCATTTTTGTTGTTGGTTATCTGCAGACTAGGCATGTGTGTGTGTTGAATTTTTTAGGCTGAACTAAGAAGAGAACTTTCTCAATCTTGATTTGAACATTCCGTTTTCAGTCTGGGACTTGAAGAATTTTCTAATAACCACTGTTTCTTTGTGTCTCAGGGTCTGATGTGAAAGGGAATCAGTATCATATGTACCCAATTCCAGAAGTGAAAGAAAAGTATTACAGAAGAATTCTAGAGAAGTGCTCCTATTAAATTCAAAGAATATTGCTGTATATAATATAATTAAATTGATGGTGCATTAAAAAGTGCTCATAAATGGAAATGTATTGCTGTATGCCATACTCATTACTTTTGAGTTTCGCTGTATATAAGTATCTCATGGCACCACTAGGTGTTAACAGAATGGCTTGGTTGATACTACATGCATGTTTCAAAGTGAACTTATGAGAAATGCAGTAGTGTGGCACTGAAATACTGCAGACATGGCAGTGTGTGCAGTAATGATGTAGAAGATGAGTAAAATTATGGGAGATGTGTGAAGTGTAAAACTGCATGCCACTGAGTGAATAGGATGATGATGCAACTGCTGTGCGGAAAGCTAAAGAAATTGTGTTTACCTGATATACAGTAGTAACCCATTCCCAAGTAATATAGCATATAAAATCCTTCTGAATCAATGTTTCCTTTTATTCTGTCTACCTCGTTTTTTTTTAGAACACTGTGAGTTAATGCATCAGCGTTCACCACAGTTGTTGCTAGGAAATCATATGTGACTTAATTCACACAGCAGTGCATTTCTTAAGATTTCATATTAAGAGGCCATGGAAAGTGTTCTGAATACAGAAGTGTTGATATTTGAAGATAGGTGTTGTTCATCCTGTTTTGCAAGTATAACTTGATGCTTTTTGATGTCAACAGCATGGCGCAGACTCCAGTAAGAAGAACCGTGATGGTGCAACGCCTCTAGACTTAGTGCGTGATGGGGATCAGGATGTAGCGGATTTGTTGCGTGGCAATGCTGCTTTGTTAGATGCTGCAAAGAAGGGAAATCTTGCTCGTGTTCAGAGGCTTGTGACGTCTGAGAATATCAACTGTCGTGATGCTCAAGGGCGCAACTCCACGCCCCTGCACCTATCTGGTTGGTTTTCTCATATATGGATTTTTTCTTTATGATTGATATTTATGTATTATTCTCTAACCTGATACTGTGATACACTGTAATTTTAAACAATATATAAGAAGAATGGAAAATAACAATATTAAAATAGACTACAGTGTGTAAGCCTATGGAGAGGAGAAATCCAAGAAGACAGCAAAAGAGATTGCTTGAAATCGTAACAACCCTGATTTGATGCTTAATGGAATAATAACTTGCTGAACTCATAATAAAGATATTTGTTGTAACAGTGTGTTTGTTTTTGCCTTTTTTTGTGTAGGAATTCCATTACTAGTGAGCAGTTGCTTATTAATTCCTTGAACCTTATACATAATCTTTGTTTTTGTGGACCAGTGACTGAGATACTTCTTTCAAATGGAACGACTTGATTAGGTTCCTCCTTGCCAGACTCATTTTCTGAAATATCGCACATTGAGAAAAGTCAAAAGAAATCAAAATCAATTGTGATATACCATCAGAAAGATGAAAAAAATCACATTGCTTTATATACATGTTTTGTTTTTATTTATAGCGGGTTACAATAACCTTGAAGTAGCAGAGTTTCTCTTAGACCATGGTGCTGATGTGAATGCTCAGGACAAAGGTGGCCTAATTCCACTTCATAATGCATCTTCATATGGTCATCTGGATATAGCTGCATTGCTAATCAAGTTCAACACAGTGGTAAATGCCACCGATAAATGGGGCTTTACACCATTGCATGAAGCCGCACAAAAGGGACGGACTCAGCTGTGTGCATTGTTGGTAAATTATATGTAGAATATGATTTGAATTACTCTTTGTAGATATGTTACACAGTGGTTTGTATTAGATCCTACATCTACATGAAAATAGTGATTTTGCATCTCTTAATGTAGGAGAACCTAGTACAATTGAAAGGGTCATGCATGCTCTATCATAATGAAAATGCAGTAAATTCTTGTGTAAAATTTCAGTACCTGGAAAAAAATCTGGGGCTGTTAGTGCTGCACTTTATCATTTTAAATGGCACTAGAGAGGTTTAATGAATTGTTACTACATTAGCTGAGCTCTGTTTTAATACTTTTAACAAAAAACTCCAAAATACAATTATATGTATACTTTTTTTATTTATTCCTTTCAGTTGGTGATAAATTGTTTACAAATATATGTGGTGAACCCACTGTGAAGCTGGTTTTTTCCATAATATATACTTATTAATTAATTACAGAAGTAATATTCAAAAATATTCTTTGTGAAGATAAGATAATTGTTGCTATGTGCAAGCCTCACCAGAAAAGCATTCAGCGAACCTAAACTGACATATTGAGAGGAGACAGGAAAATGTTGTAATGTGTTTGGGTAACTGGAGATGTGGTTCGGTTTGGTAATTGCTTTTATTAACAACATACAGGTAGTAACTACAATTAATTATAACACTGTTACTGATTTACACAACACATGATCTCTCCACATGAATCTCTTCGGTCTGTCTGCAATAGTCTTCACACATTTATAACATGGGAGCTAGACAGGTCTCACTGAATTACTCACTCCCAATCTTACTGCACTATAGCACACATAAAGTCTTCAAGTCACACAGTAAGTCTTCACTGCTGACTCTTAAGCTGTCACTCACTATCACCTATTACACATAAAATCTTCCAGTCACACTTTACATCCTCACAGGCTGATCTCCTGTATTCTTTTATACTCCATTTGCGTGCTTCTCTCATAACACATAACTAACTCTGACTGACTCTGACTCTGTCTGTCTTCTTAGGAATTCCAGTTTCTCCTATAAACCCTCAATCAGACAAGCGGAGAACAAAGCTTGCTTGACTGTTATGTGATGTCACAGCCTAGCGTGGAAGGTTGTTTACTGAGCGTTGCGTAGCAACAGGCTCTGTGCGTGTGTTTGTGATGTCACTTGCAGAAATGCAGAAGTCGTGTGACCGCTACTCACTATTGTGCAATCCGAGCGTTCACAGAGTTCTTGGCTAGCAATGCGCCGATACAATCCGCATCTCTCACATTGCGTATGTGCCCACCCCGAGGCCTCTGGCTCAAGAGTTCATGTATAGAGCAGATACGCCAGAATATATTTGGACCTGCCAGAGTAATGAAATTATTATTCTTTGCAATTTGCTGCTGGTAAACATGTTTTTTATGTAGAAGTCACTTCTATTGTTGCACTGTTTCCAAATATCAGTTGTGAGCTATGAAAAATATCAACACTATTTCAGATTGCCAATGTCATATAATAAAACAGAGCATCACATTCTTTGCATCATATGTTGATATCTTTCAACACAAAATACAGTAATGTTACAGACAATACCCCACTTTTATTGGACCGTTCAAAGAAGGTTATTCAGTGGAGAAAACTCATTGAGAAGTTCGTAATTGTTTAGCTAGTCAAGAAATTCTCCACCTTCTGTCATACGCAGAGTTTCATTACCTTGTTCATAAGATCATGCTCCTGGTCCTTACCTAGAGCCACATGACTCCAGTCCACATCTTCATACCTTATTCCTTTAAGATCCTTTTTAATATTATTCTACCGTCTTCACTTGACGATTGAACTGTAATATCATACATTTTGTCCTTTGGGGCCTTCACTACAGAATATATTTTCAGAGACTTTCAATTTATTCAAAGAAACTATGAATAATAGTTAAAAAATGTATTTCATTTGCTGTTTCACACAGAAAAATACAGTGTGAAAATATGTAAGACAGAGAAAAGTAAAAAAAAAAAATTCAGGATTTATAAATTAAAAGTTTGGCTGTTTATTTTATACTGTGTATTGATGAGGAAGTAGTAACTCCCCCCCCCCTTGTCAGTTCCTAGTGAGTCATTAAGTTCTAGCATTAGTATATTTTTTAATTTAATGCTGTAAAAACTATGTATATCAACACAGTTTTATTCAATTTTTATACTGTAATGACAAAACTGTGTGTGCTTATGTCAGATATAATTTCTATTCCAAGCTTGCCCATGGTGCAGATCCATTTTTGAAAAATCAGGAGGGTCAGTCACCTGTGGATTTGGCATCAGCAGAGGATGTACGTTGCTTGCTTCAAGATGCAATGGCCTCACAGCAAAATGTTCCTACAGCACCAGCGTCTGCTCCACCTTCACGGCCTCCATCTATTGCTGTAGCGTCTCCTACACCTATACTGGCTGCAGCACTTTCCCCACCCGTGGTGACAGAGACTGTTATAATGCCCTCCGGAGCGTCAATGACTCTATGCATTCCAGTATCTCGTGCTTGTCTTTCGCCCATGCCTGCTGCAGAGGGATGTTGTGCAGCAGAATATGTTAAACCAGAAGGTGGAGTTCAAGACATGGGCGATGTAGCAACAGTTGCAGGATTCTTGGCGAGGTGAGTGAACTAAAGAATGCAACATCTTTAGGTACTTGCACAGGTGGCTGCGCGTAGCAAGACTTGAAGCTATCACAGTGACAGAATGATAAAATCTTCTCAGATGATCAGCTGTGTCATGTATGTTACAAATTGATTGGCCGGTCTCACCAAGATTCTCTCAGCTGTATATTGTGTTTGCTGTATGGGCTGGCATGAAATAACCTCAATTTGACTGAATGGACTTTTGTGAAATTTAATATTGGTAAAAAGGTAAACTTGCCACTGTGTGCTATAGTATTATGAAGGCATATGGCGGGAGTGGAGGTATAGCTCTGCCTTCCTTGACCTCAGTACTTAGATGGAGGTGGGTGGTCAGATTCATGCCCCAGCTGCTTTAATCCTGGAGAAATTGCCCTCAGTACATATTGGTGACTTTGGTAAGAATGTGGTGTCATAATTTAGTTTTCTCTCCCACAATGTGTATGGACTCCTTTATATTATATTTATTTTTATGAGGGCTGTTCAGTAAATATGATACCTACATATTTCAAAGATAGTGTGAGTGATTGTTATGTCATCTTATATAAACTCATGTAAATGAGTAGATGAAAAACAAAATACAGAACTGCCATAGGGAGACTTTAATGGTTTTTTAAATCAGTCTGGCATTTTGCTAACTGTGCACACTAGTTCTGAATGTCAGGGTACCTATTTTTTGGTGTCTGTTATTACCATGATGGCCAACCACCATACAACGAACATCCACCCAAACAAACCAGTCAGGTGAGCCACAGCCCACAAACCCAGAAACCAACAAAACTGTAAGGCAAAAGCTTGCATAGCAATTGCTCAAGGACACCCAAATAAAACAGCTGGTTCACCCATGTAACCTAGAATCTGAGGCAGCTACATGAGAAAAGCAGAAGAACATTACAGTGAGCAGCAGGTTTCTTCATCACAACAACCAAATGTAATAAACATACTAAATACTTTTGCATGACATTAGTTCCAGAAATAAATTGCAACAGCTGTCGCAATAGCATAACGGTGGAAGATAAGAGTAGATGTGTTATAAACTTACCAGAAACATTCTGGGGAGCTGAAATATATACATATGAAAATGCGACATAATAACTTTTTGGATGTTTTTACCAGACTTGTATGCCATTATATACAGGGTGTCCCAGGAAGAATGTGCCAGACTTCGGGAAGGTGTTCCTTATGTTAAGGAATGCCGATATAACCCAAAACACCTATGTCCAAAGTTGAACGGTTACGGAGAGAATGGCCCGAGAAAAGTGTGGTCTTCTGGCGGATCCACGCACTATACCTGTCAGCTGACAAGTCTTATCGATGTTTGTCCTTGAGTGTGGTGATGACGGCTCACACTAGCTGCATACACTCGCATACCAGAATGCGCAGTCAGCCATGTTATGATGTCAGTGCTTGCCCTTCATGTGTCATGTATAGTGCTTGGAACCCTAACGACAACTATGACTTGGTGTGCGAGTTTTTTTTTTGTAGTTCAATTTAATGGCTTCATGTCACTCACAAGTTAGTTTGATGTTACATACATTATTAACATTACAGAAACCACATATTCCTGGCAGTTTTAATATGTATTTGGTAATCAACAAGTGTGTAACACCTGTCAAAGATTCAAACGTCTCTGGCCATTATCTCCATAACCGTTCAACTTTGGACATAGGAGTTTTGGGTTATATCGGCTTATTTTAACATAAGGAACACCCTCCCAAAGTCTGGCACATTCCTCCTGGGACACCCTGTATTGTCACATGTAGGGGTGCATGACCTATAGATGGGTTTCAGGTTGGATGATTTGATTTATTGACACCTTACACATACCAATCTGAACTACGGGCAATACAGTGCAATCACATCCGCACTTTACAATTCACTGTTACACAGACTCGTGTTCACAGTCCTCACTAGTTGTATCCTGGCAGTGGATTCCTAACAGTCTCACTGTAACTTCAAATCATACACAAAGTCTTCTTTGAACAGCATTATTCCTTTCTTGTAGTTTTTTCAACAGGATGAAGCATAGAAGGCTGCTGTTATTATTTTGAATTTTATATGTTAACACAGAGTTTGGAGATATTAAAGGTCATACGCTTGTAGAGTTTGCATGAGGGTTTGGTTGGCAGTACACAAGTGACCGCTGAGGTGGATATTTGGTTGATAAAAAATTGTATTTAACAAGAGTTGGAACTTTAATAGTGGCAACTATTTGTTTACAACTGATACAAAATGGATGCATGTTTCAAAGTTTTACTGTCCTTCAGTGTAGTCACCAGCATTGTGTACAACCCGTTGCCAGTGATGTGGAAGTCGTAGGATACCTTTAGCAGTGCCTGTTGTGTTGATAGTTAGATTGGAGTGGTCTACTGCCGGAAGAATCTCTGGAACAGTTCTGAAGCGAATGCCACGGAAGTTGTTCCTTCATCTTAGGAATCAAGTTGAAGTCACAAGGGCTTAAGTCCAGGGGGTATGGTGGATGGTACAGCACTTCCCAGCCCCATCGATCGAACAAATCAGCCACAGCTTGCCATTCCTGCATTTCCATCAAATCTGCCAAATATCTGCTTATATCGTACAGTCTGATGGCATAGCTAGTTCGTTTCCATAAAATATCCCCTCTATAACCTTGTTATACATTAAAGTCTGGAAAGTATGATAACTGTGGTAGAAAATTTGCATCCTCGGTGTCCTGTTCCCCATGTTTGTTGTAGGAGTTTCTGCATGTGAATTTTTGTTTTAATGTCTGCATTTCAGCCTAGGCTTGGATCATCTTCAAGAACTGTTTGAACGTGAACAGATCACACTAGATATCCTTGCAGAAATGGGACATGAAGATCTGAAACAAATTGGAGTTAGTGCATATGGTTACCGACATAAGCTCATCAAAGGCATTGACAAGCTGTGCTCCAGTGCAGGTTGGTTACTGTACTGTATTCTTGTAATTGTGTATTTACCTTTAGCATGCTACAGACATGCATGTGTAGTGTAATGTCATATTGCAGGCATCTATAAAATTCTGAAAAATGCTTGTTGTAACAGATACTCATAATATCTGAAAATGGTTTAAATATGTACAGTATGTATGTATAGTACAATGTGGCACCAAGGTTTAAACAATAAAATTGACACTGTAATATCTGTTTGTCTTTGAAGCAGTTATAATGGGACTCTGAAAATACTGACGAAAAATTTGGCATTCTCATTTTTAGCATTATCTTAGTCAGAGAGTTAACAATTTTCTTAAACTTACATAACTTCTGCTCACAAGTGACTGCTAATTGGGCGGTTGGTATGAGCAGAAGGCCCTCCCACTATTTTCTGCACACCTGCAAGCTCAGATTACTTACGTATTCTGCCCATAATTTGCTGCACATATGTACATGTGAGAGTAAACACATTGACTTGTATCAGACACCTGAAACACATGACCTGAAGGACACACTGATGCTTACATACATACACTACATAACATGATATTCTAATGCTACAGTCTGAATATGTCCAACTCTTGAGGAGACATGTAGGCGGTGGTTGTGAATCAGCCATTGTGGTTAATACAAGGGTTGGATAAAAAGTGGCAACACTGCTGTAACATGAAAGATGTGCATCAGATGGCACTAGCGCCATCTGTCGCTCATAGCAGAAGTTCAGTTCAAGTAGTGCGGTGAGTGGCTCTGGTTGTGTTTCATTGAGTTGCATCGTGCATCGTCTTGAAGTCCAGGAGCCCAGTTCAAGCACCCTAACAACATGTTTACGAAACTAGAACAATGCTCCTGGATAAAACTTGAAGTTGCACGAGGTCGTAGTACACAAAACTGTTATCAGGGACTGCGAGAAGCATGTGGTGATGCTGCTTTGCCATATCGCACTGTGGCACGATGGGTGAGATTCTTCCATGAAGGGAGGGATGCCATTCAGGACGACCTCATGTTAACCACACAATTCAACTTCTTGCTTCTTTGCTGGAGGTCAGTCGTCAAGGGGCTGCGCGGGAGTTAGCTGCTGAGGTAGACGTATGTCACAAAACCGTGCTCCACATTCTGCATGATATTCTTGGAGACCGCAAAATTGCAGTGCATTGGGTACCCCATACAATGTCCAAGGTGCAACAATGGCAATGTTATGCAATTTCACAGGACTTGTTGGACCAGTACCAGAGGGAAGGTGATGACTTCCTTAGAAGGATCGTCACTCTGGATGAAACTTAGGCTTGCTCATACAAACTGCACTTGAAGTGACATTCAGATGAATGGAAGCATCCTGGCTCTCCTCGTCCAAAGAAAGTGCGGCCTACACAGAGTAATGTGAAGGCAATATTCACTGTGGCATATGACACTGATGGAGTTATACTGCATCACACTATACCTCAATGACAGACAGTAAACGCTGCCTACTACTGCAGTTTCCTTCCTAATCATCTTCATCTAGCACTCAGGAGAAAGTGACACACGTTTTGGCAATGAACCCCATCATCCTTCATGACAATGCAAGGGCTCAAACTGCTGACACTGTCAAGGATCTCCTTCGCCACTGGCGATGGGCGATACTGCAGCATCCGCCATACTCACCCGATATGAGTCAATGCAATTGTGATCTCTTTGCCAAAATGAAAGAACCACTGCGAGGGACACGTTACAACACAAGAGAGGAGATTATTCGTGCTGTAGGGTGGTCACTGCTGGACTTCAACAGAAGTGGACTTGCTGATGGCATACAACGCCTTCCACAAATTTGGCAGAAGGTGGTACACATGGGGGCAGTTATATTGAAGGAATGTAACTGTGTTTACCTCAGGTAATAAAATCATTTCAGAATTATAGAGGTGTTGCCACTACTTTTTATCCGACCATTGTACATGAATCTAACTATTTTTTCTGTCAAGTGACACATTTACTTTACCACAAGTGAAATGAAAATAACCCAATTCATGAGACAGCTGGATAGAATCTGTACCATCAGTAGTTCCAATTCTTGTTATGTTACATTGATTATTAGTTCATTAACTGGTTATGGCAGCTAATTTTCCTTGCAAAACCAGTCAAGGTTAATGAATTCCAAAGCCTCATTCTCTGAATTTAGTTTTGTGTTATCCTTGATCGCATTCAACAGTTCACTATGTTGTCATGGGAACTGAGCTGTGGAAGACAGATCATGTTGCCTGGACTGCATGTGTCTCTTATAATGTTAAGATTGCTTGAGCAACTGAGTAGCTGATGATGAAGGTTAAGGTCACCAAAGAACTCATTAGAAAAATCTGGAAGAGCGACATTCCTGTAATAGAAGCTGTAAGGTTCTTGTGCAGACCCAATTCAGTTCAGAGAAGACAAGTGGGTAGTGGGAGTAGTCAGTCATTAAGTCATTTAGCAGAGTAGTTAGTGAGCTAGCCAGTGTTCAGTTAGGCAGTATGTCAGTTTCAATAGAGTGCAGAGAAGTCAAGAAAAGAGTGAGTGCAATATTGTGAGCATTGGTGTAGCTGTAAAGTAACTGGTGGGACGTGAGCTGATCTCAGGAGCTTAAGTAGCTCCAGACTATGTAACAATGGCTGCTGAAAACATTGATAAACATTACAGCATTATGTTTTTGTTCTTGAAAGTGGTGACCATTATCAAAGAAGTCTATCTGGGGATCTGTCTTCCTGTCTCACCCTTTGATTGGCCACAGACATAACATAGACATATTACTTCATGTTCAGGTCTGAACAGTTCCTTTCATTGTCATCTTGAGGGATTAATGGGAATGAATTTGTTAAACAGTGTGCAGCGGAAGAATCGGAAAACTTTCTAATTCCCTTTGCTCACCAAATGATACAAGCCTTTGGGGGACTAGTTGTAAGGATGAGAGGCAGCTGGTATTGGCTCAAGACCATGACCATTGGCAGGCTTTGCTGTTAGTAGTGTTGAGCTTTCAGGTTCACCAACCACAATGGTAGATCTTTGAAAACTTGCAAGTTTTATTAATGCACTTTTATGATAGTGGAAAATAACGCAGCGGCACCCGCTCAAAGTAGTTTGGTGTGACAGCTTTAGCTGATGGGACAGTGTAACTTAAAATGTAAAACTTATTTTTTTACATGTTGTAAAAACATTTACTTACAGTACCAATATTATTAAAACATAAAAAGTGTAAACCCATGCACCATGCAAATAGTGGATGCTTTCAGTGCTTGAATCACTGGTTAGATACAGATTGTCTAGTGTAGTCTCCATGTAGATTTTCAGTTCTACAGTCATCAATAACACCTGTAAGTCATTAGAAATGTGTGTTTTAGGAACATTATGGATGCATCCATCAAATCCTGGCACATTATTGGTCGACCTGTTGGGTGAGGACAAGGAGTTCATGGCTGTGGAAGAAGAGATGCAGTCCACCATAAGGGAGCACCGTGATAATGGGCACTCAGGTGGTATCTTTTGCCGCTACAACATAGTCAGGGTGAGTGTAGATGAAAAATACTTCACAAAACAAGAAAAGTAAAATTCTTTTTTAGATTTTACTTTTGCTAGATTCAGACCGATAAAAGTGGGCCAAATCATAAACCAGGAAGACTGATGCGGTCCATCAAAAAGACCTCAGTTAGGACAGCCAGAGCCCTGGCTGAGACTGTAGCATGTACAGAAGAAACCTGAATGGAAGAGATAATTTGGCAGACCTGGTGTAAATGTGAGGATAATATTAAATGCATCATTCTCTTTGACCAAACAGGGGCACAGATGCTGGAAATGTGGAACTGTGTGTGATACACACGAGGTTTTATCGGAAGGTTCCTGGACTAGGTCAAAAAAATGCTGACCTAACTTACTCAATTTTCGCTGCCATCTCCTTCAAAATAGTCTCCTTGGGAATGTATTCAGCGATCCCATTGATTTTTGCATGCTTTGAAAGCACCATGGAAGTCATTTTCCTTAATGCTGTTCAGTACCACTTGCGATTCCCTTTGGATATGAGACACTGTTTCAAAACATCATCCCTTCAGTTGAATTTTCAATTTGAGAAACTAACCAAAATCATGAGAAGCTAAGTCCGGCGAGTACGGAGGATGGGTAACAATAACCCTGTTGTTGTTAGTGACAAACTCTGTGGTTTTCAGGAACATTTGGGTGGGCTCTTCATGATGGAGCAGTGTGGCTCATGTTCAGATTTTCTGTTAAGAGTTCCTGGAAAACTCCATAACTTATCCCAATGGTGTCTGCGAGCTCATAAATTGTTTGGCAGTGGTCTTCATGGATGAATTCTTGAATTTTTTCAACATTTTCTGTCATTTTGCTGGTGCTTGGTTGCCCTGAATGTTCGTCATCTTCAACTGACACTTGACCAGCCTTGATATGTGAATGTTATTCAAAAACCGATGTGCAGCTTAAAGAATGTTATCCACAAGGCTGACAAAGCATTTCAAGTGTTTCGGTAGTGGATTTACCAAACTTCACATAAAACTTGGTGCAGACACGTTGCTCAACTTTGCCATCCATTGCAGACAAAATGAAACACAAAAAAAAAACTCATGTAAAAACAATGCGTGTTGACAGCGTGGTGTCACTTGGCAGACTGATGCAGTAAGCTTTCAGAAGTGTGACTTTGGCCTCCGCTCTCATTTACTTTCACCGGGGTAATTACAAAAATAACAGTCCGGGAACAAACCACCTCGTACCGCATCATTTTGAAATATGCCTCAACAGCTATAATCTAGTGGCTTCAGAAATATGTAATTTGATGAACTGTATGTGAGTATGGAATAATTGTTAGACCCATATCACTTTTAACATCTTTCTCAAAAATATTTGAAACTATAATATATACAAGAACTTGCAGAACATATTAGTAAGTACTGGCCGATATGGATTTAGGAAAGGATTAAAAACAGATAATGCAATTTACAAATTGGCTACAGAGATTTTAAATTCTATGAACAACAAACAATTAGTGGCAGGTGTTTTTATGATCTGGAGAAGGCCTTTGACTGTGTAGATCATGATATCTTGTTGTCCAGACTTAAATTTTATGGTATTACTGGGAAAGATCATGCACTTTATGAATCTTGTTTAAGTAACAGATATATTAGAACAGTAATACATAAAAGTGATGTGAATTCTGTATCCTAAGAGTGGCTTAATGTTAGACAGGGAGTGCTGCAAGGGTCTGTATTAGGACCTTTGATGTTTATCTTATATATAAACGACTTGCCTAAAATATTAAATAAATTTTCTACACCTATACTTTTGCTGATGCTACTGGCATCTTATTTTCACATTCTAATATAAATGATCTTTACAGGAATATTCTTATAACAATTGGAATCTTAAATGGATGGTTTAGAGCTAATAAATTATCTTTAAACTTTAACAAGACACATTGTATTCAATGTAAAACTAAGACAATAATGTCGGATACTTTTACATTACGAGTAAATCATAATAATAAGTTTATCAACAGTACCTTCAGTACTAAATTCATGGGAATTATAGTTGATAGTGCCTTAATATGGAAGAATCATACTGATTTACTTGTAAAAGAATTAAGTAAGGCTTGTTAACATAATTAGAAATATTATATGTTTATTTCAGCTCTAAAGGTAATGTATTATTCCTGTTTTCACTCCTTAATGACCGGTGGTATCATCTTTTGGGAAAACTCATCTCATAGTTCTGTTTCTCTTCTCCAAATAGAGGCTATCAGAGTGATGTTACGATATGGCAATAGAGTCTCATGTAGAAACATATTTAAAGAGTTAAATATTTTATCATTTGCATCACAGTGTATATTTTCATTGTTAGTATTTGTATTGCAAAATAAAAGTTCTTTTTCCATCAAACATTGACTCTTATACTAGTAATACTAGACAAAGACAAGATTTGTATCTACCTCAAGCTAATTTAACTATTTCTCAAAAAGGAGTTTATTATGTGGGTATAAAAATATTTAATAAATTGCCCATAGAGATCAAGAACACTTCTAATAATTTTAAGAAGTTTAAGGTTGTATTGAGGCATTTCTTGAACACTCATATGTTTTATACTGTGCATGAATATCTGAATAGATAACTTTTATTATTGTTGTATTCATTGTGCTCTCTAGTTATGTAATAACTATGTATGTATTTTGTGACATATTCTACATCTATCTCTGGATCTCATGAACTTACAATAAATACAAATACAAATATTCAACACGTACTGCTTTGGTAATATATTGATGGTCTGTGAGTAGGTGGGTGTCCAGGTATGCCCCATTTGCCACATGGCTCTTTTGCCAGAAACTATTGAATCAGCTCAACTTTGTTCATGGGTTCCTTCATTTGTGACTTTAAGATGAATTCTCCTTCCTCCTCTATTTTTGAATGAAAATAACACTAAAAAGTTGTTGCCGTATAGTCTTGTAAAGGTAGTATTATAGAAAGAAAAGTACATATTCATTATATGGAGGTAACTAACATTGTCTTGAAATATGTTCTTTGTAATGTTTTGCCACATGTAAACATTTTTAAATAGCAATATATTTGCCTGTGGTTAATGCCCTGCATGGCTGTTAGAGAGTTAAATAGCTATCTCATTTTACTTTCTCATATGCATAGTACACATGAGAAGGTATTGTGATCATGAAAAAATTGATATCAATTTTTGAGAGATGAACACATCTTTTGCACCCCTGAATACAAAAAGTTATTTTTGGAATGCTGTATGTGTACACGCACAGCAGATTTTACATCTTACTGCGTATTCAGGACTTTATCCATTATAGGTCAGTGTATAAACGTTCTTGCACCAAAAATCAGAGCCCTTCAGATGGGCCCAAAAACACAACATGATTTTTACGAAGATGGCATAATGATAAGACCATATCACTAAATAAAACTGCATGGGTAGTGCCTTCAAAAAAATAATGGTACACGTATGCACAGTAAGGGCTGAAATTTCAGTTTTCTCAAAATGGGTTCTGCTGGTCAGAGAGATTTCATTGTTCACTATTCCACAACCAACAATGGTCTACCAAACAACATTCAATTTTGTTTCCAAGGTACATAGTTGAGGTCAACCATATATGAAAAATTATGTGCAACACCAACTTTCTGATTTATTTAATTCTTAACCACTACAGATCTAGAAATATATTGCTTGTACTTCTTAAGAAGGGTTTCCTATTTGTGTGTGATACAGTGGTCCATTCTGCACTGCTTCATGTGGTTAATTATGTTTCAGATCCAGAAGGTTCAGAATCGGAAGTTATGGGAACGATACTCCCATAGGAGACAAGAGGTTTCTGAGGAAAACAGCAATCAGGCCAATGAACGAATGTTGTTCCATGGTTCACCTTTCATTAATGCTATTGTACAAAAAGGTTTTGATGAGAGGCATGCCTACATTGGGGGCATGTTTGGGGCAGGTAAGTTACATATCCCAGAATCAAAATATTTCCCAGTAATACCTTTCTAGTGCATGTACAATGAAAGGTTGTAGAAATGTGCATATTGTTTTCATGTCTGTCTGTCATTCCCATGTCCTCATGTAACAGCTCATGGATTTTCATGAAATCTGGCATTGGGGAGTCGTACTAAAAATTGTTAGTGTAACTCACTAGATGTTTGTTGGAGTGAAAAATGTTCTGAACAAAGGTTGTAGAGAAAAATAAAATGAGTACTGTATGCCCAGTGTACTTTTTCCACAGTTTTTATGATTTTAGAGATAATTAAAAGAGGATTTTTAACCTTTTATCATCTTGTATCTCAAGAGCCATTGGACTGAATTTGTTCAAGCTTTGCAGTGAATGTCTTTGCACAGGTTTGTTGAACTATGTCAGATTGTATAAACGTCAGCAAGATAGAAATGGGAATTAATGTGAAAGCCTAAATATGGATTTGTAGGCCATACAGTTTGCAACCAGAGAGTTTTAAGTTTCTTAATGAAATGTTCCTCTAACTTCATTTTGTTGTATTTCGTGCAAAGCAGAAATGGTCCACCCAAATAAATAAAGGAAAAAAAAAAATGTGCCTGAGCAAGGATTTGATGTCTGAATCTCTACAGGAGAAGCCATAGAATTGTCCACTGCACCATTCCACTGAAGATTTCATAAGAATTTATTCTTTCACAGTCTTTTATGTTGCTTTTGACTGAACGTTGGGACTACAGGTGTGTTTGCACCTTCAAAATGCGAAAGGCTGTACCATGCAACAATATAATGTGCATGTTGTTGTTTTGTCTACAGTACCCTTCATATTAATGGCTATGAGAGGCAAAGTTGGTGTTTGTGTAACCTCAGATACATTGTATGGCCTCTTCTTAGAACCCCATTTATTATTGATTTTTGTGTTTAGAATCACTGAACACTTTTGCTGGATTTGAGGTTCTGGCATGGTGACTATGAAAAGTTCTGTCTTTTCAGATATAATACCATGTAGTCCAGTGAAAGTCAACCAGTGTCTCAGGGAAGTATATTGTCTCCATCTGCAGGGTCAAAGAGTAAGCCAAGCAAGAAACCAACATGAAGTAGGCAACAAGCAGAATCTGCTTCTGAATGTGATTTCTTGCTTGGCTTACTCCCTCATCTGAAGGTGGAGGTGATACGTTCCTTCAAAAATGTTGATCAACTTTCACAGAACTACAAAGCATTACATCGCAGAAGGTACAACTCTTCATGAACTACTTAGCCTGTTTAATGTACCATGTTTCCATATGGAACTGTAACTGAACTTGAAAGCAGGACTGCAGGAATGGAAAGAATAGTGGAATGAGTTCCTAGCTTATATACAGGTCAAGTTCTTAAAACAGTAAATTAAGTTTAATAATTAGGAGTTGGGAAGAAAAAAAAGGGGGGTATTGAAAAACAGCATTCACAAATTGCAAGCCCAGAGAGTAACAGAACGGAAATCCCAGAACTGTTGTTACCCTTTGCACACATTTGCTTATGTCCTGTTCAGATGGCCTAAGATTTTGCTTTTATTCCAGGAATATACTTTGCAGAGCATTCCTCAAAAAGCAACCAGTATGTATATGGAATTGGGGGTGGAACCGGTTGCCCCATGCACAAAGATCGGTCTTGTTACATATGCCACAGGTAATGACCATTCATTCATTCATTCATTCATTCATTCATTTATTCACATTCCATAAGATCTTTAAAAGGTCGAAAAATAGCCAGTTAGATATAGAAATTGTCAAGTAGCTTAATCACATCTTGCTTATCAATCAAGCAGCTGTCAAAAAACAATTAATAGTAGATAAGGTTTACATTAGTCATAAAAGAATTAATCTTAAAAACATTAAAACCCTTGACAATTTTAGAATAAAAAATTCAGTCAAAATATTATATACAAATCTTGCTTATACATTGAAGCAATTATCTAAAAACCAGTTTATAATATAAGAATAGTTTAGAATGTTAATATAATTAATGATAATAGCTGTAACTAAACATTGACAATATAAGATAACAAATTGAGTATAATTGGTAATAAGAAATGCAAGTAATATGTACAATTTAAAACGGTTTAATCACATAAAACTGTTCTGTCAGATAGTTTAAGTTTCTTACTAAAAAAGCTTTAATCCAACTACCATATTGCTTAAATAATTATATATTATTACAGGCACTTACTGTTGTGTCGAGTGACCCTGGGAAAATCATTCCTGCAGTTCAGTGCTATGAAAATGGCTCATGCACCGCCTGGACACCATTCTGTGATGGGGCGTCCAAGTGCTGGTGGTCTTAACTTTCCAGAATATGTAGTTTATCGTGGTGAACAGGCATATCCAGAGTACCTCATCACATACCAAATTGTTAAACCTGAAGAGACAGTGGCAAGTTGTGATGCAGAGGGCAGATGATTCCCTGTAACCATAACCACACCTGGTTCTGAGAGCTTGGAAACAGGCAGACGTTATTGTTGCTCTCGTGTTGTTGGCAGGGTTTTGAGGTATGTTCGCCTGTTTTTGGCCAGAGCTGAAGTCAAACAGGGACGTGGCACATGTCTCACTCATAAAAAGCCACAGCGACAAGCATGGGGAACTATTGCTATCCCATGGCCGGGTTAAGAGGATGGTTAAATATGTCTTACGTGGGTGGTGGTGGTGGTTCAGCACCTTTCCGATTCTTCTGTTTGGAAAGGTGTCTGACCTTTGTGATATCTACCAAGAAGCATGGTGCTACATTTGTTCTTCATGATTTCCACTCCATTTTCATGAAAAGTTGTTTATGCAACTCCTAGGCTAATGTGTAATTCAGAAGTGTTCTTGTTCATTCAGAAAGAGTAGACCTCGTTTGATGTTTATGATAGATGGCATACACATTGAAAATATCCTGCATTAGTACTCACAAGTCATCCATGTATGTTCCCTGGCCTTTCACAGCCAGTGAATGAACATTTAACATTTGCTAAGCAAAGTTCACCCATACTGTAGCATTGAATGATACGATTATTGTTGCATAATGAATTGGGTAGGATTTGGAAGGGGGGTGTGGTCTGTTCAAGGTCCTGTCATGGCATTTGCCTGGAAAGACTGAGGAAAACCATGAAGAACCTCAGCCAGGGTAGACATTCTCAGCTGAAATTCGAACCAAGCACCTCCTGGATAGAAGTCTTAAATCATTACCGCTAACCAACCAGACCTACCCTCCAAAATCTTTAAAATGGCCAAAGTACTATGTATACATGCCATTTTACATGAAGTCATGTTATGAATTATTAGGACTGAACATCATGGTTCAGTGATTAGTACTGTTCCTTAATATTCAGGAGGTCCTGGGTACAAATCTTGGCTTGGAGACTGGCTGTCTTTACTGTGGTTGATTTTCCTGTTCCACCAAGCAGATGCTAGAATAGTACCTCAAATTAGGCCCCAGTTTCCTCCTTCCACTTTTTCTGTTCATTATTCTGTACCCTATCATTTGGTACTATATGATCTGGGAGATTTAAATCATCATATAAATTTAATTCACGAACTTAACATAATCTGGCCTGTTCTTCAAATATCTAGGCATGCAAATTTTTTAATAAGGAAGTTCTTAATCGGCAATATATAATTATTGTGATTCTCTTAATGCCAATTCTTGCAAAAAATGAAATTTATTTGGCAATATTTAATTAAAATTTCAACAGTAAATTAGTCACTAATATAAAACTTGTTCATGTGCTTGTTTGTTAACACATTGTACTGTTCATCTGGTATGTACTTAATGGAGATGGTGATATTTAAAAGTGACAATAATTACTCCCCCTTCCCCTCTGTCAAAAGCATTTTTAAATATTAAAAAACATAAATACAAATTGTACTAATGAGCTCTTATTACAAGTATGAGTGCCCATTTGGATCCTGATGCTTGTGAAATTATAATGCATATACGAATGGTTTTCATCCTTCACACTGCGCCTAACACTGCCATCACCAAGAACAAACCGAGCCCATGTATTTGTATGTATACTTCTTGGTTTAGATGTCGTAGTGGCACAATTCTATTATCCATACTATTTATATCAAGAGTTTTTTTTTGGGGGGGGGGGTTCAAGTAATAAAAGCAGATTAATGAAGAAAACGGAGATGGAAAGCAATATGTCAGATTAATATCTTTCCTTTGTGCTGTTTTATGCAGCTAAAAATCTGTGTTCATGAAATGTTAAGCGTCTCATGGTGCAAAATTCTGTCTTAAGAATGAACTGTTTATAATAAAAATAATAACACAACTGTACATAATGTTGGCAAGTTGTAAGAAGATGATAATATATGGATGCAGAATATTGTATAGCATTGGTTTTTGTTGTTTCCTTCTGTAATGAAAAATATTTTATTATTCAGTGTGGGTGTGGGTGTACAGTAATGACCTGCATATTTTTCAAAGATTATATAAAATTTGAACACTTACACTGAATGACACTAATGTTGCCCAAAGGCATCATAAAAGAACTCCCTAGTTTAAAGTTTAATATCAAGTTTAATTTGAGACATACAATCCATGGAGCTTGTTATGAACTTTCAGAAAATCATAGAGTTTTAGTTCTTTTTTTTTTGACTGCACATATGCATACTCATGTGCACTTGACCCTCAGTGGCATTAAAGTTGTGTATCTACTACAGTAAGTGCAATGGCATCAATTCAGGAAAACCCCAGTGCGCTGTATGGTTTGCTGAATTCAAATCTATTGTAAGTGCTCATGATTTTCAACATACATACTGAAGAAAACTGCAAGTACCAGACTGACCTAACATTGGTTTGTTAAATTTAAGGAAACAGGAAGCATGTTAAAGTATGAAACAGCAGGAAGACAAGACAGTCCAGGAGAGGATGAGTGCATGAGGGTATCATGACGAGAGAGTCCAAAACGATCTGTCATTACAGTTTGCAATGTAGTGTATTCAAAACCACAATCTAAAATTTGTTGCATATGCAACTGAGATTGCAAGCTTACAGAATTCATCTTAGAGTCTGATTCTCCAGAAAGAGTCAAATATGCAAAATTTCTGTTAAATGAGATCTATGAAGATGAAAATTTTTTTTGATGGGTACTTTCATGTACGAGACTTTGTCTCACATTAGTAATCATGTTACTTATCATAGCTGTTGATTCAAGGAAGCAAAACAGCCACATTAAGTTTTTGAATGAGAAACATTTTGGATTAGAATTGTTTGCTTTCCCAAATGGAGGACACTGAAAGCAGAAACTAAACTGCAGTTGTTTTTCAGTAGGATAGGGCCCCACCCCTTTTCAGTCATAGCCATGAACGCTAAATTTCTTTATCAGTGGATTGGAAGACGTGCATTAATATCCTGGCCTCCAGGAAATCCAGGTCTTACATCTCTGAATTTTATTGTATGGGGATGTGTGAAAAACATTGTCCATGCAGGAAAAGGCTCTGCAAGAAGGAATTATGCTACTGTAATGAAAATCATGCCAGATATGCTTCATCATACCTCGGTCACAGTCGAATACCACTTCAATATTGGCAGAGCAACAGTAAGTGCTCACATCAAAACTTCTTAAGGGCATCAGGAGACTTCAAGAATTTCCGCAGATATTTAATAAAAAAAAAAAGATTTTTATGGATTATTGCATCTTGAAAATCAGCGCTTCTGTAGTTGTACAGAATTTTAAGTGTGTATAGGTGTTGTGTTGTCATCAAAGAATAATAATGTGCAAAGACAAAAACACCGTCTAATGTGACTATTTAAGTTTTATCATTTGAAGACTCATCACCCTTACATGTTTCGATCCCTAGGGATCATCCTCAGAGGGCATCAGTACTTTTTCGGAAACTACTGTTACAGTAGATGTTAATTATATACATACACATATAATGTCTGAAATGCACAATGTACACAATGCTCAACCTTTCACATTCACAGCAGCCTTCCTGGTGTTAAAACTTTTTAAAGTGACTCCAGTGATTGAGGCTAGCTCTTTCTAAGGGACTCAACAGAATAGGTGTTTTCCCTCACCTGAGGACGGAAACAAATCCAGTTTCCGAAACGTCGGGTTTTTCTTAGTTATCTTAAAAACCAGGACGATGGATAAAGTCCAAAAACCCAATATCTCCATGCTTTTTAGTTTTATATTATTATGTGAAGTGTGACCAAATATGCACCATTTTAGTCATAAAATCAGAACTCATATAGGGATGGGAAAAAGAAGTTGAAATTTACATTCCATATAGAGGAAACTGAATGCTATCGTTTCAAATTTTCACTTCATTGTCCTTTACCCAACAAATATAATGTAACACACAGTCGATGTAACTTGTTGGAATATCTGAAATAAAGACCATTCCCTATAAATTAATGTAATAGGGCATCATATGGAGGTGTAGCTTGATTATACTGTAATAGAGAATATACATAAGAAAATAGGTATACAGTTATATCCTCCTCATGCTCAGCTCCAACATATATGCTTAACACTTTGCGGCATATTATGACTTTAGGACACGTTATGTTGAAACACAGTATACCTTGCACTGGCGCCAGGCAGACGCATGACTGATGCGTGACAGACCTCTTGAATGTTTGCTTCGTAGTCAGTAACATGACCCCGCTGTTTATGACCCAGCTGTTTCCCTTTCTCACTCCAAAAGAAAATGCCTTTGTTCATCTTCCAGCTGCATGCACCAGGCACTAGTGCAAAATGGATCAAGGTCGGAAGAGGTTGAGATCCAAGCATTTTCTCAGAGAACAAGAAATATCTGACTTGTTCTCCGATGAGCTATCTGACGTCCCTTGTGAGTCTGCTAGTGATAGCGACTCACAATCCGATAGTGAGTGTGGCAGGGGCGAACAGAAAATTGTGGCCACAGACAGTGAAAGTGAAAGTGACAGTGGCTCCGACGAAAGTGCGGGTAGCAACATTGCGGGGAGAGCCACATGGGGAAAAGTAGACAAAACGCCTGCTTTGGGACAGTTTACTGGAAATCCAGGGGTGATGCAAATTCCATCAGACCCAACACAAGTGTCTGAAGTAGCAGAACTGTTTTTTGGAGATAGTTTCTTTGGCACGCTATGTCAGGAAACTAACAGATACTTTCTCCAACACCGTGAACATTATGACAGAAGTTATAAGGCGTTGAAGTGGGTGGATGTCACTTCAGCAGAAATGAGAAAATTTTTTGCAATAATCTTTCTAATGGGCCATACAAGGAGGGATAATCTGAAAGAGTATTGGTCAACAGATCCATTTTTAGAAATTCCAATTTTCGGCAAAGTAATGAGCCATAAGAGATTTGAGCAAATTTGGTGGTGTTTGCATTTCAATGATAATGAACTGCAACCACAATCAACAAGCAGCTTTTCAAAATTCAGGCCTTATTGAACTTTTTCGTTCAGACAGTTTATAAGCCAAACCAACAACTGTCTTTGGACGAATCTGTGATTCCTTGGAGGGGAAGGCTTTGTATGTGAACATATAATCCTGGGAAACTTACAAAGTATGGCCTACTTGTTCGTGTAGTTACTGAAAGCACTTCAGGCTATATTGGAAATTTAGAAATTCTGGCGAAGGAAAGAAATTACAAGAAACCATTCCTTCCGTTTTGGAACCCTATCTTGATCAAAATTACCATGTCTATCAAGACAATTATTATAACAGTGTGGCAACTGCAGAACACCTATTTTTGAGAAAAGTATGTGTTTGTGGAACAATTAGGGTGAACAGAGGCCTTCCTCCAGATCTGAAAGAGGAATGTAAATCCCTGAAACGTGGTGAAACCACATTCAGGAGGAAGGGGGATATTCTTCAGTCCTGGAGGGATACTCTTGTTGTGAATATGATTTCCACAATTCACAATTTGAGCATGGTTGATGTTCAAAGGAGACATGGACAGGTAAAGAAGCCTGTGTATTTCTGAGTATAATATGTTCGTGAAGGGAGTTGATAGAGCCGATCAGTACTTGGCCTATTATTCTCTTCCTCGGAAAACAGTAAAGTGGACAAAGATAGTTGCCTTATGGCTTATAAACTGTGCCATTTTCAATTCAATTTTGGTTTTCAAAAATTTAAACCCTTATTCAAAATTGAAATACAAGGCATTTCTGCTGAATGTGGCAAAAGCCTGGGCTACAGACCACACGGTGGCGGCAGAACCGGTGGCAGACACAGGCTTAGTACGACCGGGGCCGTCTACTCCCACCCCACGCAGGCCTCATTTTGACCCCCCTGGGTGACTCTCGGGTGATATGCGGAAACATGCCAAGGGGAAGCAGCCTTCTAGGTGATGCCGTGTTTGCACAGTACACAACAAAAGGAGTATGACTGTCTACATATGCAAGTTCTGTGTAATGCCACTTCACAAAGGGGAATGTTTCCAAAAATATCACACTCTCAAGCACTTCTAGGAGCTTTGGTAAGTGTTCTCCAAAAATTTTAGTTCATAAAATTAATTAGGAGATTTTATATTAATTTTTAAAGTGAACAGTGCACAAGTTAGGGTAGTAGGTTTAAAAATGCCGGTCCCCAGGGTGATTTAAATATTTAAATTGCCGGTCCACAATGTGTTAAGTAGCAACAACTTTACCAGCACTAACAGGGAATCAAATAAGAATATTGTTTTATCATCAGTTTAAAGACCTCATTCATATGGCCTAATGCACAGAGGCTCCAACATTATGCTAGCTTCAGATTTTATCTTTGAAAAATGAGGCACCAAGCAAAAAGGATTATGCCATTACCCAGCTATGAAAATATCTCTATCAGGATGGAAAATTAACAGAACTCACATCTGCTGCACTTTTAACACCGAATACATTCCATTAATTCTACCAAGCACTGCTGGTGTCCTTTCATCAAGACATATCCTGATTTGTTGTCGTTGAGGAAGACACAGAAGCTCAGTTAACGAAAATAATAGGCATAGGCCTGTAATTTACATTGTTTAAATGTATGTTATATTAATCAGTGACCAAGAATCAATTATCACAAGAAAATAGTATGCTATACCATTACATGAATAAAATTGTGAAGCGTTTTGTTTTTGAGACTACACTCTGGTAAGATAGATATGTTCTATACATGTGCGATGTATTTGGGGAGGAGAAGGCATTCGCCCCCCCCCCCCCAGGAGTTTTTAAAAGAAACCAGAATTAAATAAAATAAGGTAATACACCATTTATTATTATTATTATTAAAATTAAATATTTAAGAACACAGTTGTGTAAGGTATGATAAAAGTATGTGAAGTCACTTAAAACATTGTTCATTTACAAATTATGAACCAAGCTTGTTTGTTTCTCCAAGTTGAAAAGATCACCGATGATAAAAAAGAATACAAAAGGAAACCTGTTTATTGACCTACAGCCAGTTTTTAATGACAGGGAATAAAAACACCTGTAATATGTTTTAAAGTATCAGGATATAACTTAGTCGGTATAGTGAGTGGGCTACTGGCTGGATGACTAAGTAGTTGGGGTTTGATTCCTGGTAGAAGTAAGAGATTTTTTGCTTCTCCATAATGCCTGGACTAATCCTGGGGTCCACCCAGCCTGCTATACACAGGTTGTTGGGGGCTGTTTCCCTAGGGGTTAAAGGGGCAGGAGCGTGAAGCTCGCCATTCACCTTCATACAGTGCAGAGCATAAGAATAGTTAAGCTATACGTACATTCCCCCATATGACCTCACGGTTGAGTACATATTTAATTGAGCCCAAGGATGACTTTGCCTTTACCGTACTTTCTTCCCCAACACAACTACATCATTACTTTTCCTCGCCAGTTCGATATAATGCGTAGTGAGAGGAAAGGCAAAAATTAAACTACTTCTACCATGGAAATGCCATCCAGACGATCTACACAGTACAGATATGGGATATTTCGTTTGCGGGCAGGAATTTTATTAAAATGTGTCACGATATCCTTGTTCACAATACACATCTAGTCCGATCTCGTCGATCCGTGACAATCACGGTAGAGAGGGCGGCAAGGAAATTTCGCAGAATAGGTGAAATATAATTTTCGTATTAAAGCCCAATAATGTTTGTTATCAGGCCTGTTAATTATAACTAACATCACGATTTACTAACAAAATGAAATGTATTCGTAATAAGGGTATGTTTACTGCACAGACAGGCGGAATGTGATGAAATTCAAAACATGGGTTCTAAGCATCTATATTTAGAAACTCCATTTTGAGCATTAATGCACAACCATGCAAAAAGTGACTAGTCACCGCTCACGTAGAGCGTAATATACACAAAGGGACATTTTACCGTCTTGGCGTTTCGCCTCGAACTTGTTTATGTATATATATATAAAGAAATTGCCACAAGTGATGTAGATAGTGTACTGAATGTCATGATGACTTTATAATTGAAACAAAGCACTCCAACATATATTCGTATTATTTTATTGTTTGCAACTGAATTTTATGTGAATTTCTGTGTTTAGTGCTCATTGTTAAATTATCAGAAACTGATGTTATGTGAGTATCCATTCACGTGTTGGTGGCATGCAAATACGAGATCAGATCAGAAGTATCAGAAGTGGCACAGATGTAGGAGTTAGGGAGACAATGCACCGAGGTTTATGATCCCTTGTTTATTTTTATTTCTAACTGGGTGGTTGTAGAACGGGCTGATGCATAATATGAAAGAATGATTTGCAGAAAACAGGACCTTTAATTTTAGCTTAAAATAATGTACGAAACTTTTCAGAAACTGCTTAACGCGTGATTTAATATTGAGTGCCGTGGGTTATACCATTTCGTTTTACTATGTATATTGCTATATTACTTGAATTTGTGCGTCATTAATTCATTTCGACGAGCAGATCTCATATTTGCTTTAGCTCATTTGTAAGCTGTGTATTTAGCAATGCAAAGGCATATAACCCACAGTATGGCTCTTACGATAAATTTTAGCAGCCAAACGAAGAGCCCAAAGCGCCAAATCGGATTTCCTGTCCCCAGTGCCATCTTTATTATAAGTTTGGTGAAGGACCAGAGGGTGATAAGGAACTGAGTTAACTGATTAACCCAAACATAACCTTATAATAAAATCAAACCTAACCGGAATGATGTACTGTGGAATCAAAAAGAAAAGCCACACAATGTGTGCAGTAGAGACCACATGCACATGGTTGTGCACCATGTATCTTAAACTCAGCTTCACACAGCCACCACCATTCGAATGTAATATGAATAAGGGTATGTATATCAGACACATTTTACTTTGGTATAACAGAGCCTCAACCTCTCACAACCCTATGGGCCTCCACTGCCAGTTACAGGGATAGCTTTATAGCACTCTTCTATCATGAAGTGCTCTTGAAGTGTTGTAAATTACAGCAGATACAGATTCAGGAAAATTGGCAAATGTGTTTGAAAAGGATGAAATTCCAACAGCACAAACTTTGCCATAAATTGCATTCAGGGCAGTGGATAATTGGCATCATGATACAATAACACTGGAATTTAGTCACTACAAAGGAACAGTTTGTTCTCCCATATGTTATTTATTTAATTATACTGGCACTAACCCTAGCTGTATACATTACATTCCCTGGATCCAGAGTTGGTCAAAATGACTGTAGGATGAGGAATATATCATATAAATACAAAAACACATGTACAATACAACTGAAGTTTTCACACAAGAAAACAGTGGTTATACATGAGACTATTAAAAAATACATCCCCATATATACATCAATACTACCAGCCATTAAATGGATGAGTCATTTTTTAGATAGCAAGTATTCATGAACAGAGTACAATGAGTATGTGTTTAAGTATCGTTTTAGTGATATTTTAAATTGTGCTTTTTCATTCATAAGACTTTGAGATCAGATGAGAGATTATTGAAAATTTTGATCCCAGCATATTGTATGCTTTTCTAAAAGCATGAGATAATGGATAATGATAATAATTTTTTAATTAGAACATAATTTCCTCTTAATTTTGTATAATTGAAGAATTTGTGTTACAGATGACAGTGCATCCCTGAAGGAATGAGTGTTTGACCATATCCTGTAGTAACACCAGTAATCATGTCAGAAGGCAGAAAGCTGTTAAAACAAGCCGCTATGCAAGTTGGTGCTGGTGGCTCTGCAGGTACAGATAAAGAACAAAATTTTATATATTCATTTTCAGTTTTAGTTTTCATGCAGTAAATTTATAAATTTTTATGTGACCTTCTGGGTTTACACATGTTTCAGGAACCTTTTGAATATATGTGCCCATGTGCATATGATCTTATTTCTGGAGTTCTTAATTTTTTTGACATTTATGTTTTAGTATAGTTAGGTTTATTATTATGTTGTTTTGGCGCTGAGTGTGTAAGTTGCAAGATGCATATATGAAATTGGATTTTTCAGTTACAGTGTTGCAAAACCAAATGCCGTAGTATTTAATCCTGTGCTTAATATGAGAACCTGATACTTGAGGAATGTTGTTTAATACTTGGTGAATTTGTGATGACAAGAGTGGAAAAACACAGAGGTAAAGGTAAAGTTGTCCCTGTACCTAATTAATTAAGCACTATACCATGAAGACATGAGGAAGTGAGGTAAAGTTGCACCATTCATGACTTCGGATGTAGATTGAGGTGAGTGGTTAGCTTCACACCCTGGCTGGGTGGGCCCCAGGACTGATGTGGATTGTGGAGAGTAGAGAAATATTTCTTGTTCCTGCTGGACATTGGTCCTTGGCCATCCAGCCCGTTGTCCATCACTACACACTCTAGATAGAATTCCCTACAGCACACACTGTGTAGCCTCAGAATGCTGTGACTTATCTGGTAATGGCTCCCAGTGCTGTAGCTTCCTCAGCTTCTGTCTTCACTGCCTGACACCTTTCAGCTGCAGCCGCTGAGCTGATCTAACCGGCTTCCAACTGTCAAAAAAAAAAAAAAAAAAGCCCAATTCAAAGTTATGTTACAACCAATGATCAGTCGACCAGTCTGCCTTGGTGTCTAGGGCACAGCACCATATTTTTATTACGGTCATACAGTTGCAGGTTTGTTGATGTGGGGCACCCTCTCCGATGAGAGGATGAGTCTGTTATTTACAATTGCTGCTGGCCCTCGCCAGTATGTCATTTTCAGGTCCGAGTCCCACGGGACTCATGACCATATTTTTCTGTCTCAGATTGAAGACTCCCCCAACCTGGAGGGCCATGTCCCCATATTTATATTGCCCCCCCCCCAGGAATAGGGTGGTCCAGTTATACCCCCAGACACTGAGTTCCTTTTTTGTCACCTGTGGCTCACAGGGCTATGGTGGAGATATTCGAACCTGCCTCCACATGGGAACTGACTCACAGTGGACGGTCGGGTCCTTATTTAGCCGCATAGAAGACACCTCTCACAACAGTTCATCTTTTGTTGCATCACGTAGCTATCAGCACAGACTGTTTAGAGAACACTGCTTCCCAGTTACACCATTGTTGTTTGTTATGAAGCTGTTCCCTAGCAACAGACTTGTTTGCAGAGCCATTCCCTAGCAACACCTATCTCTGCTGGCTTCACAATTCTGGCTTTCAGCAGACCTGCCATAACATACACAAGGTGGTTGAAATATGACCGGGACTGATTTGTGTGTAAACAGGCCACACTGCGCAGCGTTGTGCGACCTTGAGAGAGTGAAGCCACAGCCTCCACCCTCCCTCCTGTTTGGGTTAGAACCTGTTCAGTCCTGTCATCAAAATAAGACTTGATTGCAGAAGTACAATCGTGTCAACAGCAAACAACCACACACAACCAGAAGCACCAAATAACCATAATTTACACTGTCATTCATAAACAGAATTACAAGGAATATAGTTATTAAATGTTATACATGCTTAGCAGAAATATATTCATCTAGTGAATAAAAAGCATTTGTTGTGAGGAAACTTTTCAGTGTGCGTTTAAAAATCTTCACATTATCACACATCCTTTGTATATTTTGAGGAAGATTATTATAAACCATAATGGATGAATATAACATGCCTCTCTGGATTGAAGATAATCTCACTGATGACGCATGTAGCTGTCCAAACTGTCTAGTGTTTATATGATGAATATTATTGTTGGTTTGAAAAAATTGCGATTTCTAACAACAAACATCAATATAGAATAGATATATAGGCTAGGAACCATCAAAATACCCAACCTCTTAAAACCTTCTCTAACGAGTTTCCAGGACTCAATCTCAGCATAACCCTAATCACTCTTTTTCGGGCAACAAATAAACTTTTCATAACTGGAGAAGAACCCCAGAATATAATATTATATTCAAGCTGAGACTAATAATAAGAAAAATAGACCATTCGAAGGGCTTGTAACTTCCTGAGCATAAAACACACTGTATTCAGTTTCTTTAATAATTTTTCAGATTGTTTTTTCCAATATTATATTTAAGCATCCTGTTGCACTCTATACAATAAATGACACAAATTCCGTCCCAAGTGCAAACAATATATATTATATGTCTTTGATCTTGTTCTTTCTACACTACATGTTTCGGCCTCTATCGGCCATCATCAGGTGTATACTCTTAACGTTGCTGCCACACTGAACTCGGTCTAAAATTTAACATTTAAAA